ATGGGAACACCAGACCACCTTATCTGTCTCCTGAGAAATCTGTATGCAGGTCAAGAAGCAATAGTTAGAACTGACATGGAAAAACAGACTGGTTCCAAATTGGGAAAGGCTGTATACTGTCACTCTGCTTATCTAACTTTTATGCGGAGTACATCATGAGAAACACTGGGCTGGATGAAGCACATGCTGGAATCATGATTTCCAGGAGAAATATCAGTAACCTCAGATAGGCAGATGACACTACCCTTATAGCAGAAAAGTGAAAATCTCTCAGTTGTGTCTGATTCTTTGCGACCCCATGGACTATACAGTCCATGGAATTCTCCAGGCCAGAATACTGGAGTGGGTAGCCTTTCCCTTCTCCAGGGGATCTTCCCAACCCAGGGATCAGATACAGGTCTCCCGCACTGCAGGTGGATTCTTTACCAGCTGAGCCACAAGGGAAGCCCAAGAATACTGGAGTGGGATCTTCCCAACCCAGGAATTAAACTGCATTGCAAGCGGATTCTTTACCAACTGAGCTACCAGGGAAACTCTTATGGCATAAAGCAAAGAGTAAGTGCCTCTTGATGCAAATGAAAGAGGAGAGTGAAAAAGCTGGCCTCAAGCTCAACATTCAAAAAACAAAGATCATGGCATCCGGTCCCATCACTTCAAGGCAAATAGATGGGGGAAACAATGAAAACAGTGACAGACTTTATTTTCTTGGGCTCCAAAATCACTGCAGATGGTTACTGCAGCCATGAAATTCAAAGACTCTTGCTCCTTGGAAGAAAATCTATGTCCAACCTAGACATCATATTAAAAAGCAGGGACAAGCTCTTTGCCGCATCTACTGCGAGACGGAAGACCATTCTCAGCAATCAGACTGTTGACATCCCAGAAAATGTCNGAGTTGGACTATAAAGCTGAGCACCAAAGAATTGCTGCTTTTGAACTGTGGTGTTGGAGAAGACTCCTGAGAGCCTGTTGGACTTCAAGGAGACCCAATCAGTCCATCCTAAAGGAAGACAGTCCTGAATATTCATTGGAAGGACTGATGCTGAAGCTGAAGCTCCAATACTTTGGCCACCTGATGCAAAGAACTGACTCATTGGGAAAAACCCTGATGCTGGGAAAGACTGAAGGCAGGAGGAGAAGGGGACGACAGAGGGTGAGAGATGGTTGTATGGCATCACTGACTCGATGGACATGAATGTGAGCAAGCTACAGGAGCTGGTGATGGACAGGGAATCCTGGCATCCTGCAGTCCATGGGGTTGCAAAGACTCGGACATGACTGAGCGACTGAACTGAAGTGATCTGTATGTCATTCCCAGTCACCTAATTTATCGCTTCCACTCACATTCCGCCTTTGGAAACCGTAAGTTTGATTTCAAGATCTGTGAGTCTATTTCTGTTTTCTAAATAAATTCATTTGTATCTTTTAAAATTATATTCCACATATAAGTGATATCACCTGATATTTGTCTTTGATTTACTCCATTTAGTACAATAATCTCTAGATCCATTCCTGTTGCTGCAAACAGCATTATTTCATTCTTTTTAATGGCCGAGTAATATTCCATTGTATATATGTGCGACATCTTTATTCATCTGTTGATGGACATTTAGGTTGCTTCCATATCTTAGCCATTGTAAACTGTGCTGCAATGAACATTAGGGTGCATGTATCTTTTTGAATTATGCTTTTTCTCTGAGTATAGGATTGCTGGATCATACGGTAGTTCTATATTTAGTTTTTTTAAGGAACCTCCATACTGTTCTCCATAATGGTTGTATCTCCATAATGGTTGTATCAATTTACATTCTCACCAACAGTGTAGGAGGGTTGGCATTGGTTTTTATGGTATTCATAGAAAATTTCTCAGCAGTGAGAGCCGTTAAACACTAGAATGGTTAATCAGTGGCAGCTTTAGAAAATCTTTTCCTGGAGATTTTTTTTAAAAATCATGAAATAGATTCACTATTTGCCTAGGATTTCCTGTGGTCTCTCTTAAAACCATTGGAATGTATTATGCAAGCATCCGAAGTCTGCGTTGTTTGATTTGACTCAACAAATATTTAGTGTTGGCTTATTTGTGACCCTGGGCATCACTATGACTGAATTCACACCAACTGTTCCTGCCCTCAGGGTGCCTTTCTTCCAAGGATTCCCCATCTCAACTAATGACACTTCCATCAGCGTGGCTGCCCAGATCAGAAACCTATGAATCATCTTTGATGCCTACTGTCCACTACTCACTCCCAGTTAGTTTCAACCAGGATCTCTGTCCTTCTAGCTGTCACTGGGATTTGCTCGCTTCTCCACCTCCCCACCACGGCTGCAGTCACAAGTATCTCTCCTTTGGGTTCCTGCAGTGTCTAAGTGACCTCCCTCCCCCAAGCTTGGCCTTGCCTAAATTCATCTGTAAGCACGGTATCTCTGAAATGAAAGTCGAAGGCCTTTCACTCTCCCACCTAACCTCCCACAGTGGGCTCTCCGGCTCCTGAGAGAGACAGGAGGCGGGCACCTTGAGGCACATGGCCTAGACCTCCCTGTGCGTTTGAATCCCAGCTCTGTAACTCATCTCCTTACATGACTTTCAGCAAGTCACTTACACGCTCCCTGAAGCTTTCTCAGCTGTAGAAAGGGGATCAGAGCCATGATTCATCTTAGGGTAGTCGGGAGGATCAGAGGAACCTGGGTCTTCCTCTCTTCCATGAGCCCTTAACTTCGGAGTCCCCTGACTCTGGGCCTCTCCTCTCTCTGTGCTCACTCCGAGTCATCTCAATGGTTCCATGACCGACTATCCACATCCTGACAACTCCAAATTTATGTCTCCAGCTCAGACCTCTCTCCCAGACCTGAAACTCATTTATTCTTTCTAACATCTCCACTTGGATGGCTACTAAAGGTGCAATGTTTTAAAACTTAACAATTATGACACGCAAACTATTCTCTACAGAATAGGTAGATAACAAGGTCCTACTATATGGAACAGGGAACTATACTCAATATTCTGTGATGAACCATAATGGAAACGACTGTGAAAATGAATGTCTATATATGTATGTTGCGAAGTTGCTTCAGTCGCATCTGACTCTGTACGACCCCATGGACTGCAGTCGCCAGGCTCCTCTGTCTATGTGATTCTCCAGGCAAGAATACTGGAGTGGGTTGCCATTTCCTTCTCCAAGCTATATATGTATAACTGAATCATTTTGCTGTCCAGAGGGGATTTACACAACACTGTAAATCAACTGTACTTCAATAAACTAAATAAAAGCAAACAATTATTATAAAACTCACAACCACTTGGCTCTTACTTACCCACTAATCTCATTTAAGAAAAAAAAAAATCTGCACTTTATCCCATTCCAAGTCAGCTAGTTAACTCTCTCGTGTCTAGAGCTTTCCACATGTACTCTTCTCTGCTCTTCCACCTCGATGGAATCCGTCAGTATTTATTTTTCAAGTGTTAGTTTAGATGGACTTCCCTGGCTCTAAGTCGACTCCTCCACCAGCAATGCCTGCTCCCACGTGCTCCTTGCTCATCACACCGTTTTTTTTTTTTTTCATTTGTTTAAATCTTTCATTTGTTTTTCAATATCTATTTATTTGGCTGTATTGGATCTTAGTTGCAGCACATGACATCATCACACCGGCTCTTTAGTTGTGGTTTACAGGCTCCGGAGCATGCGTCATTAGTTGCTTCTTGAGGGCTTAATTGCTCTGTGGCATGTGGGATCCTTGTTCTCAGGGATCAAACCCGCATCCCCTGCATTGCATGGCAGATTCTTAACCACTGGACCAGCAGGGAAGTCCCACAGCCTTTTGTAATTGCTTCTCTTTTGTTTTTCCAGCCAGGCTCTCTGACAAGAGACTTGGCCTGTGATGTTACTCATTGCACCATCCCAGGCATGGGGCTTGGTACAAGGGAGGCTCTTAGTAAACATTAGTTCAGTGAAAGAGTAAAATACACCTGCAGCGGTGACAGCATCTCTGCACATTAAACACACACACTGCTTAACAACTGTGTGTAACGGCTTCCTAGCTAGTAACCATTGCTAACACTTTTCTAATTTAATCTCCACAACAACCTACGTAAGTAGGTGCTATTACTGTCTTTATTTGAGAAGTAAGGAAGTTGAAGTTTGGAGAAGTTAAGCTACCTTCTCAAGGACATAGCTGATAAGTGTTGGAGCAGGATTCAAATCCAGGCAGTCTGGCAGCAGATCCCAAACCTAATAGGATTCCGTATCATGCAGCCATTCTGAGTTGGGATTGTCTCTCCTGTTTAGCTCAAAATTAGCCAAATATCTGCCCTTAGCAAGTATGGCAAAGAACAACCCACGTCACCTTCAATAAATATTTATCATCGTCCCGCGTCAGAAGCTGCCACTCAAAGTGGAGACCAAAGCACAGGCAGGGAACGGCCTCCTCGTTCAGGTCACAACCGTCATCACCACAGCTGACCATCTTATTGAATATATCCAATGTCCAGGCGCCACCGCAAACCCTTTCCACATCCCATCCCGCGTAACAAGTAAGTTTTCGTTTAACAGATCTTGAATCTTTTGACTTCTATCGCATGTTTTTCTGGGTAAGCCAAACTTAAATCGTCAGCGATCCAGTGCAATTTGGAGAAATAACTGCCCAACCCTCTCATTTTCAGATCTGGGAACTGGGACTCTGAAAGGTGAAGGGCCTTGCCCAAGGTCGAGCAGGTGGCGGTCCAACTAGGGCTGGAAGAGGCCTTTTGGATTCAGCTCCAGAGCTCTGGACTCGGCGCTGCACAACCAACCACATTTCCTCTACTCAAGGTACGTAAGTGAAACGGCACCGCGTCTCTTTTTAAACGCACTTGTTTAACGGACAGCAGTTACTGCTAGGTAGAGAGCAGTTACTGCAGCTCACGGTTCATCATCTATGATATGCTGTTCCGTACATCGTGCCCTGGAAGTCACACTTTCTCCGCATCCTTTTCCTGGCGTATCCCTCGGTTACGCAGGTGGCTTCGCAGCGCGCCGGGGCCTTTTGTGACTGGGTGATCAAGAGGAGCCAGGAGGGCGGCAGGCGGTTCGCGACAGCCAATCAGGACTCAGAGACCCGGAGCTGCACCAATCAGAGGTAACCGGGGCCTGAGCCAGGGCGAATCGGGAGCTCGAGCCCGAGAACAGGGCGCGCGGCGGCCCGCGGTCAATCAGAGCGGAGGACGAGGCCCAATCGGCGGCCTCCGGACCTGGGTAGCGGGCGTGGGGAGGCGGGGCCTGTCCGCGCGGCCGCAAGGTGGGCTCCGCGAAGAGCGAGCGGGGTAAGGAGCGCGGACCGCCCGGGCCGGGGTGGGGCTGGGCGCGCGGCGGGGGCGTGGGGTCACGGGATGCGGCCGGAGCGACCCTCGGAGCTGTATGATGCCGCGGGGAGAGGCGAGGGGCCGAGTCCCGGGCTGGGGAGGTGGCCACTCTGGCCGGAGGGGTCGGAGGAGGAACCCTGTTGCCATGACGACGCAGGTGCGCGGACTGGCGACCCTTCTCAATCTCGGATCGTGCAGCCGGTGAACACCCGGCTCCAAGCGGCCTCCATCCTCCCAAGCGAAAATAACCCGCTTTGGCCAGCCGCCTCTGCGCCCCCACAGCCTGGCTCTCCGCCGCCCCCTCCCTCTCGCCGGCTGGTCGCGGGCAGAGGGATTAAGCTCGCCCTGCGGGGCTCTTGGTTAACAGCAGGCCTTTGCCGTTTGACCACCTGGACCAGCTGGGGTCCAGCGCGGCCGCCTTGTTCCGGGGACTGGCATTAGAGATGCCGCCGCCTGAGGGACCTGGGGGATCCCCTAGAGGGATTTTTTTTTATTTTAAAGGCATCTAATATGGAACCGTGTGCATAACAAGGACTTAAGAGAATGGGGTCTGACCGAGTAAATAAAGACCACAGTGACAGCTCCATTCCGTGGATCAGAGCTGTCCAGTAGAAACAGGCAGCGACCCACATACTATGTAATGTTACATGTTCTACTAACCACATTAGAATGTTATATCTTGTATTTATCCAGTATATCTAAAGTATCAATATTAAATAAATCAATAAGCTAATATTAATAATTGATTTAATTAATTGATGTTAAATTATTGGTAAACAGCCTTGAATTTAAAAAATTTTTTCTTTTGTATTGGGTGTAGCTAGTTAACAGTGTTGTGACAGTTTCACATGTTTCCATTCTCCCCCAGACTCCCTTCCCAACCAGGCTGCCACATAACATTGAGCAGAGTTCCATGTACTGTACAGTAGGTCCTTGTTATCCGTTTTAAATATAGCAGTGTGTACATGTCCATCCCAAACTCCCTGTTCTTCCCTCTACCTGTTCCCGCCGGCAACCCTAAGTTTATTGTCTCAGTGAGTCAGTCTTTAAACACAACGCTTTTCCATAGAAAGCCTTCAAAATCTGCTGCATGTCTTCTATTCACATCTCAGTTTGGACCAGCCACATTTCAAATGCTCAATGGCCCCGTTTGGCCAGTGGCTACCAAATATGATGATGCAAATGTAACCATTTCTTATATGTGAGTTGTCGCCACATACAGGGCACCTCCGTGTTCTTTGAAGCCTTTTTGTATACAAGAAGACAACGTTGTGCAAGGAGGCAGCAGAAACATGAGGCAAGGTCTCTTTTTCTCCAGGAGCTCCCAGTTCGCTTGAGAAAGTAGACACTCAAAAATTAAGTCGATTTTTAAATGAATATGATTCAGACAGTATTAAAGATAACTGTACAGTATATAATCAACTGACAAATGAGATGGCTGTTAATTACCCTTGGGCATCCTAGGGAGGGACACTTCTGGCTCCTGCAGTGGTGGAAGATTGAGTCTAGTCTTAAAAGATGGGCAGGAAAGCTTGGGCTGCTGGACCGATGCGGAGGGGGCTTTGGTTGACTGCAACTGACCATACCTTCTCTTATTTTTCAGAGCTGAGCATTTGCAGAGGCTTTCAGACTGGAAAAGACTCTCCTCGCTCACTGACGGCCTCCACCATGATTCACAGTCTTTTCTTGATCAACTCCTCTGGAGATATTTTCCTGGAGAAACACTGGAAGAGTGTGGTCAGCCGTTCTGTTTGCGATTACTTTTTCGAGGCACAAGAGCGAGCGACGGAGGCTGAAAATGTCCCTCCGGTTATCCCCACCCCGCATCACTATCTCTTAAGTGTTTACCGTCACAAGATCTTTTTCGTGGCTGTGATCCAGACGGAGGTGCCGCCTCTGTTTGTCATTGAGTTCCTCCACAGGGTAGTGGACACTTTTCAGGTGCGTGAATGTGAGGAGGTTCATCCATGGACCTTATAAAGTGTCTTTGTAGTTTTGTTTCCATGGTTTTCAGCCTCAGTTAAGGAGCTAAAAGGGCTTCCTTGATAGCTCAGTTGGTAAAGAATCTGCCTGTAACACAGGAGACCCCGGTTTGATTCCTGGGTCGGGAAAATCCCCTGGAGAAGGGATAGGCTACCCACTCCAGTATTCTTGGGCTTCCATTGTGGCTCAGCTGGTAAAGAATCCACCTGCAATGCGGGAGACCTGGCTTTGATCCCTGGGTCAGGAAGATCCCCTGGAGAAGGCAGAGGCTCCCCACTCCAGTATTCTTGGGCTTCCCTTGTGGCTCAGCTGGTAAAGAATCCACCTGCAATGCGGGAGACCTGGGTTTGATCCCTGGGTCAGGAAGATCCCCTAGAGAAGGGAGAGGCTCCCCACTCCAGTATTCTGGCCTGGAGAATTCCATGGACCATATAGTCGATGGGGTCGCAAAGAGTAGGACATGACTGAGCAACCTTCACTTTCACTTTAAGGAACTAAAAAAGAAATCACAGCTCTGACATTGCTCACTTCCTCTCCCATCTTATAAGATTCTTGTTTCTGTTTATTGAATGGGTTGTATCTTGAATGACAGACTGTACAGTTTTGAACCTGTGACCTGAGAAAGCCACTCTACTTAGTATGATTGTATGAACTTATTTCAGTTCTAGAGATGGAATTGTCCTACGTTTTGTTCACAAAGCTAAGGAGTTTCAATTTTTTTTTTAAGGCTTTTGTCAGGTTGGTTTATTTACCCCCCTTGGTTCTTGTATCATCATAACAAAGATTTGGAATGGTGGGTTAATTATAGCTCAAGCAGGCAGGATTTCTCACCTCTTGTCTTGTCATAGCAAGGATTTGAAACAACAGACTAGTTTCAGCTCAGTGACAGCTCAAGAAGACAGAACTTTTATTAAACCGACAGCAGAGATAGTCTGCTCCCGAGATGTGGGAACAGACCAACCCCAAAGGAGAGGCTCAATTTTTTTATTTTTATGGAAAACTTGATGTTAACCACTGTGAACAGCATTGCTTTGAGTTGCATCAAAAACTGATGCCTGTGGAAAGATATTTTTTAACTAGAAGAACCTAAATAATGCTTGTTTCATTCTCGCTGGCAGGGGTAATTTGGGAACCCACCCTTCAGCTTGAGTTTGTGCTCACCCACAGCATATGAGTACCAAAGATGGGCCTCGTCGCAAGCTTAGCACTTCTGTAAAATTTAAGGGATATATTTTCCAAGACGCAGTTTTCCCTTGGAGAGTTTTTCCTTCAGGAATAGATTTGGAGATCTTGGGGGCACTGGGGGGCTGGTCGTGCCAGGATGTCAGCACCTGTTACAGGACAGGATTTCAGGCAGCCTAGACTCTGGATTCAGACAGTGGCATCCTCTCCCTAAAAGAATTGCTCAACCTCTCATGGTTGTGGTTATTTGCATAACTTAATGATACATGAGAATCAAGGGTCCTCTGGTTTAACTTTCGTGTCATGTGAAGTCCGGAATTAGTCACATGAATACAGACATTGTGGTATTGGAGAGGAGAAGGAGGATCCAGACCTTCTGACAAACATTAAAAAGCAAATCAAAGAGTCCTTTCATTTGCACTTATAAATATGTGATCACATGTTTGGAACAGCTTTCATTCAAAGAATGAGCATATATTTAATTCCCGCCCCTGCCAGTCTTTCTGGTAGTATTCTTCTGGGATTCCAGTAGCATATTAGTTCCTTCACACGGTGAGAACCTGAGAATTATAAACCCCAGTACGTGGAAGAAGCAGACAAGCCCAGAAGTTATGATCTTCAGCTGCTCAAGCTGGGCCTTGTTAGGATTTCCACACAGGATATTTCACCCCGTTAACGGTCGCTCCATATCTCTATAGAGATGTTATGTAACTTGTTGCAAGAGAGGAAGTGAAGAAAGTTGTTTAATCTACTTGGAACCACAGAGGAATCGGGGTAAACAGTGAAGTGGCTGCTTTAGAAGGCTGGGACTTCACAGCTTGCCAGTTTGGAAGGATTTGTTAGAAGTCCTTAAATGGACGCAACCTGATTTGAATGTCTTATGTGATGTGTGTTCTCTGGCTTCTGTTCTTTCTCTGGCGCTGGGCTGTGACCGAGGAGCCCCCGCCGTGGAAGTGCACACGTGTTGCTGTAGCACTGTCCCCTTCCAGCTGCTGATTGATGAAATCACATTCTCCCTGATTCAGAAAATCAAGGGAGATGTTTTTAAAAATTTATTTTATTGACGTATAGTTGATTTGCAGCATGTTAATTTCTGCTGTTATAGCAAAGTGAATTCAGTTTTATATATATGTGTGTGTGTGTGTGTGTGTGTGTGTGTATGCACATTTTTTCATAGTTTTCCACTATGGTTTATCACAAGATATTGAATATATTAATAGTTCCCTGGGCTATACAGTAGGACTGTGTTGTTTATCCATTCTCTATGTAGTAGTTTGTATCTGCTGATCCCAACCCCCAAATCCACCTCTCTCACAGCTCACCTCCCCTCTAGTCTGTTCTCTATGTCTGTGAATCTGTTTTTGTTTTGTAGATAAGTTCATTTGTGTTGTATTTAAGATTCCACATATAAGTGATGGTTTAGTCGCTAATAAGTTGTGTCCGACTCTTGCAACCCCATGGACTGTAACCTACCAGGCTCCTCTGTCCATGGGATTCTCCAGGCAAGAACACTGGGGTGGGTTGCCATTTCCTTCTCCAGTATAAGTGACATCATGTGATATTTGTCTTTCTCTGTCTGACTTATTTCACTTAGTATGATAAGGTCTGGGTCTATCCATGTGGCTGCAAATGGCCTTATTCAGTTCTTTTTTTTATGGCTCAGTGGTATTCCATTGTATAGATGTACCACATCTTTATCCAGTCACCTGTTGATGGATACTTAGGTTGCTTCCATGTGGCGACCGTTGTGAATAGTGCTACTATAAACATAGGGGTGCATGTGTCTTTTTTGAATTACAGTTCTGTTTGGGTATATGCCCAGGCATGGGATTGCTGGATCATATGGTAGTTCTACTTTTACTTTTTAAGGTCCTGCCATTCTGTTCTCTGTAGTGGCTGTACCAATTTTACATTCTCACTGACAATTTTAGAGGATTCCATTTTCTCAAGTGAGGAGTTTTATTTTTCAAAATGAAATCACTCATGAGAAGGACATGTGTAGCTTTTTTCCCCCCTTCAATCTTCATGTTTTAAAGAAAAAAATATTTTTGTTGTAGAAACACATTGCTGACTCCTAAGTGCTCTTGGTTATTGGAATGTGTCTGATAGTTGACATCATTCTGATGTAATTTAGGTCACCTCTGGAGTCTGTGTTCAGTTTTGGATGTCATCATTTGAGGAGACTATTAGAAAATTAGGACAAATTCAAAGAAATGGCAAGAAAGTGAAACAGTCTAGAAACCTTATGGTAGCATGAACAGGAGCAGGACCAGACAGGGAGTCTGGCCCCGAGAAGAAAAACTGAAGGCAAATGTCCTGGCCCTCTGATCACTGAGGGGCTGTTACGTAAACTTGTTCTGTAAGGCACATCTAAGAAGCAGGGTTCAGTTTAGCCAAAGAAAGGACTTTCTAAGGATCAGCACTGCCCATGAACAGAATGGACATGCTTAAAAAGGGTGCATTTCCCATCAGAGGATGAATTCTTAGAGGACTGTCTGACCGTCTGAGAGGCCCAGCAGCAGAAGCACTGACCTTGTCGAGAAGGGCACGCCGAGTGCCTACAGGCCTTCCTCTCTGCATCATTTCATCAGGTGCACCACAGTTTATATGGTGCTTTATAGTTTACAAAGCACTTTCACACATGTTCTCATTTAATCCATCATGCTTCGTTGTTAGAACCCTGTGCGTCCACGCATGGTATTATCCAGATTATACTACTAGAGATCTCAAGTCCTAATTAGTTAGCATGAATTAATCTAGTAGGTGACAATTAAGACTATTACCCAGGCCTTCTGATTTGGAATTCAGTGCTTTTCCCACAACCCAGACAATTTAGTGTCTAAGTTTAGCCTTTCTTAATAAAGGGACAAAGTGTTATTAGAATCCTAGCATCTTAGAAAAAGGGTGATCCAAAGAGATTTTCTGGTGTGCTAGCTCACACCCCTCATTTCATTTCTCTCTCAGTTCTTACTTGCTCCATGAATGTTGAGCACAACATTAATAGTTACTAGCACAACAGTAAGAGTTAAAAAAATTTGGGGGCCCAGTGAACACTGTATCAGGTATTATCATTTCACATGGTTCTTTCAAATTCATGTTCCAAACCACATAATAGTCTAGACTCAGTTTTGTATTCTTCATATTAGTTAAAGAAACTAACCCAAAGGGATTAAATGACTCACTTTAGTATATGAAAGAAGTTATTAATAAACTCTTCTCCTTTTAAAAGGAATTTCCCCTGGGCTCCCCTTATGGTCCAGTGGTTTAAAATGTGCCTTGCAATGCAAGGGACACCGGTTAGACCCCTGGGCTGGGAAGATTCCACATGCCCCGGAACAACTAAGACCATGCCCCAGAACTGCTGAGCCTGCGTGCCCTAGACCCTGTGCTCTGCAGCAAGAAGCCATTGCAATGAGAAGCCCATGCACTGCAGGGAAGACCCAGCACAGCCAAAAAATAAAATAACCGAATCTTTAATAATAATAATCTTGTTTCTTCCTGATTACAGAAGAAGCACATGATTATTGTAGAAGGTCAGAAATACAGAAAAGCACAAAGAACATGAAATAAGCTCATAAACATTTTTAACATACAGTGTATATATATCTTTTTATCTTCTTTGGTGAGATGGATAATGTATGGACAGGTGGAATTTTTTAAAATGAGTTATAATGCTGTTTTTACCCATGAAATTTTTATATCAATGTGTAGATTAATGTCCCTACTGAAAGCCAATGCATTATTTAAGCTGCAAGCTATTGGGCAATTTGAGAGACCAAGTTCAGGTTACTTTCAAAACCAAAATGATATGATATCTGTTTCTCGGGTAACTTTTTAACCTGTATTCTGCCTGAGCAGACACACCAACTGGGGACAGGCTTTTTAAATGGACTAGGTTACCAAGATAGAAGTTGGGAAAACTATAATCACTATTTTGGAAAAATTCTTCAAGCAAGCATGTAAATAGTGGATGAATAGAAACTTTTAGGGATATGTTCTCTGGTTATTAGGTAATTGGTTACATCTAATTACAATATTGTCTCAGGAAGCACCAACGTGGGCGACCAGCTTCCCACTGGGCAGCTGTCCGTGGTACCTTGGCGACGAACGGGGGTGAAATACACCAACAATGAGGCCTATTTTGATGTGATTGAAGAGATTGATGCCATCATTGACAAATCAGGTTGGTGCTTTCAGCCAGTTTACAGAACTGTGAAAATAGAGGCCCCTTTCAGACAGTGCTCACTAGTTATCAGAATTATCCCCCATTTAAGGTCATTCATTTAACTTAGTGTCTGCTTTGTCAAGCATTGTGTATTAGGACTGGACTGAAATATCATGATGTAGATGATGTGATCATACATGTAGAAACTCTAAAGACTCCAGCCTAACACTGTGAGAACTAATAAATGTAATACAGTTGCAGGATACAAAATCAACATATAAAAATCAGTGATATTTCTATACACAGACAATGAACTATCCGAAAAGGGAACTGAGAAAACAATCCCGTTTACAATAGCAACAAAAGGAATAAAATACTTAGGAATAAACTTAACCAAAGATACTTATACCCTGAAAATTACAAAGTGTTGATGGAGGAAATTAAGAACAGATAAATGGAAAGATGATATATTTTCATGGATTGGGAGAATTAGTATTGTTAAAATGTTTGAAATATGCAAAGACATCCCCATCAAAATCCCAAATGCTGTCCACACCAGTATCTCAATGGCATTCTTTATAGAAATAGAAAAAAACAAAACTCATATGGAACCACAAAGACCTCAACTAGCCAAAGCGGTCTTGAGCAAGAACGAAGCTGGAGATGTCACAATTCTAGATTTCAAAATATATTATAACATTTGGTAATCAAAACTGTAAGGTGGACTTCCCTAGTGGTCCAGCAGTTAAGAATCCACCTGCCAATGCAGGGGACATGGGTTCGATCCTCAGTCCCGGAAGGTCCCACCTGCTGAGGGGCAACTAAGCCCTCAGGCCGCAACTACTGAGCCCATGTGCTGCAACTACTGAAGCCTGCACGCCTGGAGCCTGCGCTCCACAACAAGAGAAGCTGCTGTGATGAGAAGCCCATGCATCGTGACTGGAGAGTAGCCCCTGCTCGCCACAGCTGGAGACAAGTCTGCATGCAGCAGTGAAGACCCAGTGCAGCCAAAACTAACAAACAAATATGAAAAACAACTGTATGGTGAGGTCATAAAAACAGACATATACACCAGTGAAGCAGAATAGAAGGCTCCGCAATAAATCTGTCAACGGGTCTTCAACAGGCGTGCCAAGAACACGCGATGGGGAAAGGCTAGTCTCTGCAGGGGCTGGTGTTGGGAAAACTGGATGTTCACATGTAGAAGAATAAAATCACCCTTAATCTCACGCCACACACAAAAGTCAACTCACAGCATATTAAGGGCCTAAATGTAAGACCTGGAACCATAAACCTACTAGTAGAAAACATAGGAACAGACCTTCTTGACGCTGGTCTGGGCAGTAGTTTTTTTTTTTTTTTCAAGATATGGTCCCAAAAGCAAAGGCTTCAAAAGGAAAAATAGACCAATAGGATTGTATCAAAATAAAATCCTCCATACAAGAAAGGAACCAGTCAGAGGAAAAAGACAGCTTACGGATGAGAGGAAATATACGCAAACCATATGTCAGGTAAGAGGTTAATATCCAAAATACACGAGGAACTTATATAATTCAGTAGCAAAAAAAAAAACAGATAATCTGACTAAAAAAGTGGGCAAAGGATCTGAAAGCAGCACTAGTGGTAAAGAACCCGGCTGCCAATGCAGGAGACTTAAGAGACGTGGGTTCAATCCCTGGGTCAGGAAGATCCCCTGGAGAAGGACGTGGCAACCCACTCCAGTGTTCTTGCCTGGAGAATCCCATGGACAGAGGAGCCTGGTGGGCTACAGTCCATGGGGTCGCAAAGAGTCAGAGACGACTGAAGCGACTTAGCACGCAAAGGATCCGAAGAGACATACTTCAGAAAAGCCATACGAATGGCCAGCAGGTAAATGAAAAGGTGCTCAGTGTCACCAGTCATCGGGGAAAAGCAAGTCAGAACCACTTCATATCAAAAAGACAAAAGACACAGCAAGTGTCGGCAATGATGTGGAGAAAGGGGAACCCTGTGCACTTGCTGGGAGAAATGTAAATTGGTGCAGCCACTGTGGAAGCTGTAAGGTAAGGGAGGTGGAGAAGCCGAGGTTCAGAAAAAGAACAAGACCAGCACTTTACAGGAACAGATCACCTTTAATGAGGTGAGAAGGGGCAGCAGTCAGATTAGCAATCTGTCGCGCTAATCCAAGAAAAGAGTAAGTATATATAGGCATGTATGTGGAAAGTTACCGTCTCAAGGGGGCCTGTTCTTCTCCAAGGTTGTTCAGAGTAGTTATGTCTTAAACGACTGGGGCAAGGAATTTTGGAGATCAGCCAGAGGCTGGACCAGCTGGGAGCTGGGCGTAAGGTCCATTTTTTCCTTTGGGTGAGAATTCTTTTATTTTGAGAGTTCTATTCTTTTGCATAGAATGGTGGGGAGGACCTGGAGGGGAGTTTTAACTCCAGGCTATTTTGAGCCATGTAACTTTCCTTCAGAAAGAGTATGGAGGTGCCTGAAAAAACTGAAACTCCCTAATAATCCAGCAGTCCCACTCCTGGGTCTAGATCCAAAGGAAATAAAATTAGTATCTCGGAGAGATGTGTGCACCCCCCGTGTTCACAGCGCATTGTTGGCAGTAGCCAAGACTCGGAAACAAAGTGTCTGTTGATGGCTGATGGATGAAGATGTGAGGCAGATATCCTCACACACAGGAATATCACTCGGCCATGTGAAGAAGTAAATCCTGCCATCTGTGAAAACACAGGTGAACCTGGGGGATGTGATGCTGGGTGAAGGAAGCTGAATGCAGAAAGACAAACGTGGCGTGATCTCATGTAGAAAAACCTGTGGACCAGTGGCCGGGCTCACTTTATATGTGGAATCTTCAACAGTCAGGTCCATAGAAGCAGACAGTAGAAGGTGGTTAGACCTGGGTTCAATCCCTGGGTTGGGAAGATCCCCTGGAGAAGGGAAAGGCTACCCACTCCAGTATTCTGGCCTGGAGAATTCCATGGACAGAGGAGCCTGGTGGGCTACAGTCCATGGGGTCGCAGAGTCGGACACGAGTGAGCAACTTCCACTTCACCAGGAGTGGGGAGGATGGGAATGGGGAGAGGTTGGTGAAAGGTGCCAAGCTTCAGTTCTGCATGATGAAGAAGTTCTGGAGATTTAGTGCACAGCATGGTGACTACCGCCATGTACTTTCTTTTCCATGTTATTGAGTGTAACTGACAAAATTGTAAGGCATTCGGAATGTTCATTATGCTGATTTGATCTACACATACATTGTGAAAGGATTACCCCCCCCCAGCTAGTTAAATTATCACAATTTATTTATTTATTTATTAAATTATCTGTCACCTCACAAGTATATTGTCTACTTGCAATTTACTCAAAGGGAAAGTTTTAAGGACTGTCACCACAAAAACCTAATGAACTGTGTGAGGTGATGGATGTGTTAGCTTCATCATGGTGATCACTTCACAGGGTGTATGTGTATTAACACATCAAGTCATTCACCTTAACTGTGTACAGTTTTTTATATTTGTTGACTGTACCTCAACAGCGCTGAAAAAAAAGCCATAGAAAAGCATGATGCAGACCCGTGCTGGGCTCACATTTTCAGTGGTTTTACCCTCTCAAGTGAAAAAGTAACAAACTGATCTCTTGTTGATGAGATTTCCTTTTGGAAGTATTTGACTCTCAGTTGTCGGGGCAGAACTGAAGTTTAATCACAAAATTCAGAGAGTCGTCTTCTTTTCTGTCCATTCAGAGAGGTTAACACAACTACAAGTCCTTAGAGTGTGGAAATTTACAGAAAGTTCTCTTCACATGAGCAAACTCATTTATCCAGCAAGTGCTTACGGAGAATCCATGATGCTGCAGCTGAGCACCAGGTGGTGGGCATGTGATGGTGACTAAGACGGAGCCTGTGGCTGCAGGAAGCTTCTGAAAGTCTAGTGAGGGGGCAAGAAAGGGAAAAAGAGAGGTCCCCTCCCACCCTTACCTAGTATAAAGCTCACGAATGCTTCATCAGTAGATTGAGTAGGAGTTAGTACAGGCTGCACGGATCTGGGAGCAAAGCAGGTGCAAACACTTTTAAGAAGAGTGAAATATTGTTGGGAAATTAAGTATCTCAGGATGACTGGACTGAGACACATAAAGAAAGAAAAGTAACTGATGAGGCTTTAAAACCAAGTAGGCACAGCAGCTTTTCATATTATCCTCTAACTGGAAAGGCCCCCAAATGTCCATCAGTAATAGAAAAGATGAACAAATTTCAGTGTGATTATACCAGGAGAAGAAGAGCAAGAAAACCAGAAAATAGGAGGGGTTAGGAGAAAGGAACACTTAAAGAAAGAAGTGGTTGCAGGGGCTGCAGTAGAGAGAGCCTGTGAACTGAAGACCAAAGTGTCAGTTACATTTGGCATCAGAGCTCCTTGGGGGCCTGTGAAGTGAATATACTGTCCATGGAATTCTCCAGGCCAGAATACCGGAGTGGGTAGCCTTTCCCTTCTCCAGGGGATCTTCCCAACCCAGGGATCGAACCCAGACCTCCCGCACTGCAGGCGGACTCCTTACCAGCTAAGCCACAAGGGAAGCCCTTGGTGCCTGCAGGGAGAGCAGTTTCTGATGTGAATTCAGTGTTCTGAACCATTGGTCAGGATAGCAGTGTTGTGTTTGATTCTGGCACTAGACTGAAGGCTCCTCCGGGCTAACAGTCTCACCAGTCTTTATCCCCGCTGCTTCATCAGAGTGCCTTGTATTTGCTGCGCAGTGGATAAAGGTCTGCGAGGACAGATGGATTGGGTAGATGATTCGGATGGATGGATGGACAGAAGAAAGGAAGGAAGAATGGGGGAGGGGGAGGAAGGAAGGAAGGAAATGGGATGGGAGGGGAAGAGAGAGCTAAGGAGGGAGGGAGAAGTTGAGTTAGTTGGGAAGGACACAGAGGGTCTCACTTTCTTCCTGTCTCATCCCGTCTCAGGGTCTACCATCACTGCCGAGATCCAGGGGGTGATCGACGCCTGCGTCAAGCTGACCGGAATGCCCGACCTGACCCTTTCCTTCATGGTAAAATCCTGGGCCGGAGATCTAGTCCCTGGGAAATTAGATGCTTCTGGAAAGACAGAGCGGCAGGAGAGGAGGGAACCGGAAGGGATGGTCAGGGCCAGCAGCAAAGCTCACGGGCGGCCTTGGATTGCCCTGAGTAACAGCAGAATGTGTGCATGTGTTTTCGTGAAAGCAGCGCCTAAGTTACTTTCCTGAAAGATGCGTGGTTCTAATTCCCACCTGTGGCTGTTGCTTGGTGTTGCCCAGAACCCCAGGCTGCTGGACGACGTCAGCTTCCACCCCTGCGTCCGCTTCAAGCGCTGGGAGTCGGAGCGCATCCTCTCTTTCATTCCCCCCGACGGCAACTTCCGCCTGCTCTCCTACCACGTCAGCGCGCAGAAGTAAGCGGCTCACGTACCTGAGGGTGGAGTGCGTGCGTGCGTGCGTGTGTGCGTGCGTGCGTGCGTGCGTGGTTTGGAAACAGTATCCACAGCGATGGAGATCTCAGGCTCTGGAGTTACTTGGGCTCCAGGTAACTAATAAGGTAACGTCAGGTGAGTTGTTTTTCCTTTCCATGTCTGTTCCCTTATCTAGGAAAGCTGAAGTAATGAAAGTAACACGTAATGAAGTAAGGGGCTTCCGTGGTGGCTCAATGGGAAAGAATCTACCTGCCAATGCAGGAGACGCAGGTTCAATCCCTGGGTCCGGAAGACCCCCTGGAGAAGGAAATGGCCACCCACTCCAGCATTCTTGCCTGGGAAATCCCATGGACAGAGAAGCCTGGCGGGCTACAGCCCACGGGGTCACAAAAGAGTAGGACACGACTGACTAAACATCAACAGTAAAGTAATAAGTAACTTGAAAATAGTAAAGGTGCCTTGTTATGAGGGTTACATAAGAAACTCTAAATAGTGGCTTCCGCACAAAATAAGTGCTCATTACGTTTGCTGCTGTTTGTTTTGTTATTACTGTGTGCCTAAACAGGAATGTTTTTTTCCTCAGATTGGAATCTGAGAACACCCGTATTTCAGTCCCTTTCACTCGCCCAAAAAGCAGTGAATGGTACTGTGAAGAACCATACGATTCAGTCATTTGGGGTCGTGAGCATTCTCTTTACTGTGGGCTCTTGAGTCCTTTTGGGGGAAGGCGTAGAGCAGATGTATAGACTGAAGAGAGCTTTGGACCTCTCAGCCACTGAGGCCTTCCTGTGGGATTCGGAATAAATAATTTGGGGAAACGTCTGAGTGCTTGAGAGCAAAGGCTCTGGAATCAGACTGCCCGTACTTAAGCCCCACCTGCAGTACTGATGATACGTGACCTTGGCAAGTTACTGAATAGTTAACCTTGGTTAAGTATAAGGACATCAGTATTAATGACATCAGGACAGAAGCAATGCCTGCCTCATACTCACAGTGAGGATTAAATGAGTCATCAAGGGAAAACCTGTAGGGTCGTGCTGGCCCCAGGAAGTAGTACTTCACAGACGCCAAGGATGGTTGCAAGTTTAGTATCACCCTGTAGTTTCTCTGTTCTGACAGAGATGCCGACCCCATCCCTTAGGGGTTTTTGTAAGGATCAAGTCAAGTTAAAAGCGCTGTCATGAATTTGTAAAAGCCCCATGAGGTATGAATGTTAGTCTCCCAAGTGCAAGTAATTATCAGTCACATGCAAAACGTTAAAACAGGGAAATGTGATTTCTGTTTGCCGTGCCTTTTTCTCAGAGTCTTTGGTTTTGTTGCTATCATTCTAAGAGTCATTAGACGGGTTAGTTGACTCACTAGTCGACATCTTAGATTTACAGAAAGAAAACGACCCAAGGCGTCCAGAGGGTTTTTCTCTGCATGCTCTGTAAGACTAGGAAGGAGGTGAGGCAGGAAAAGCTGCTGGCAGAACAGGAAAGGGAAAAGTGGCGTCTTTCCAATACGTTGACGATGTGGGCTTTTTGTCTCCTCTCTTTTCCAGCCTGGTGGCGATTCCAGTGTACGTTAAACATAACATCAGCTTCCGGGACAGTAGCTCGCTCGGCCGCTTTGAAATAACCGTGGGGCCTAAGCAGACCATGGGGAAGACCATAGAGGGGGTGACCGTCGCCAGCCAGATGCCCAGAGGCGTCCTGAACATGAGCCTCACGCCGTCTCAGGGGACACACACGTTTGACCCAGTCACCAAGGTAGGAGAATACGCAGGGGGCTCAAGTTGCCCATGTTCAAAACAGCAGGAGCTCTGCAGTACCCCTTTCTGGCTTGTGGAAAGGCGAGCTTGACCAAAGGGACGTGGTTGAGGGCACTGAGATAATTCACAGTAACAAGTAGCATTCTCTTCTGGGAAACCCCCAGGAGGTCATAAGAACACAGTGAAACAGGTCTCTGAGCTCAGGCGTCTCAGATGCAGTTTCCACCATAACTTCCTTCTTTTTTCTCTCTTTGGAGATGCTATCTTGGGATGTAGGAAAAATAAATCCCCAGAAGCTCCCAAGTTTGAAGGGAACCATGAGTCTCCAGGCCGGAGCTTCCAAACCGGATGAGAACCCCACGATCAACCTGCAGTTTAAGATCCAGCAGCTGGCCATTTCTGGTGAGTGACGCCCAGCTCAGGGATGGGGAGGTGGGGGCCCAAGGCGGCGATGTCACAAAGCCCCCTGGCCACTCCCTGTCCAGAGAGTTGGGTTTCATTAGCTGATATGTGATCTTTAGTCAGGTCTTTCCCAGCACGTTCCTGGAGGAAGTCTGTGACCCTCCATCAGTATTGGAGATGAAAGTGCTTATGAGACGTTGAGTCACCCTGGGGGCGCTGGTTGGGGGGGTCCCAGGGTCTTCAGTACGGGGATGTATCTGCATTCTCAGCTGGTGAGTGAAAAGAATTCCCCTCCTTTCTGCAAATTTCAGAAGATTTCACTCCAGAAGCTCCCAAGTTTGAAGGGAACCATGAGTCTCCAGGCCGGAGCTTCCAAACCGGATGAGAACCCCACGATCAACCTGCAGTTTAAGATCCAGCAGCTGGCCATTTCTGGTGAGTCACACCCAGCTCAGGGATGGGGAGGCGGGGGCCCAAGGCGGCGATGTCACAAAGCCCCCTGGCCGCTCCCTGTCCAGAGAGTTGGGTTTCATTAGCTGATATGTGATCTTTAGTCAGGTCTTTCCCAGCACGTTCCTGGAGGAAGTCTGTGACCCTCCATCAGTATTGGAGATGAAAGTGCTTATGAGACGTTGAGTCACCCTGGGGGCGCTGGTTGGGGGGGTCCCAGGGTCTTCAGTACGGGGATGTATCTGCATTCTCAGCTGGTGAGTGAAAAGAATTCCCCTCCTTTCTGCAAATTTCAGAAGATTTCACATGTGCTGTGATCATTTGGAATGCTCGGCTGACCTGAGTTATCAACTATAGTTTACACCCCACTACCCAGGGTGATATCAAGACTTAAGTTACCTCTCTGCAGGTGTCTACTACGTGCCAGGCACTAGTTTAAGCTCTTTTCATCTATTTTCTTATTTAATTCTTAGACTGACCCTTGCAGATGGTTAGGAAATGACTTCAGCTTTATATGAAGTTTACCAATGGACCATGTCTAGTTTAAGTGATTAGAATTCATTTAAAGGATAAGCTCTTTTCATCTTAAAATGCTTAATAAACTTTAAAGCTCTGAGTAGTATAAAATGTTCTTTTCTTAGTCCAGTGAGACTGTTTAAAAGGCACTGAAGAATTAATTCATCACTTTTCATCATTAGTTTATTCATTCAGTTATACCTTTATTTGATTATGAATTTCTTTTGTGTGTGTGTGTGTGTAATAAAGTTTTATTAAAGTATAAAGGGGATAGAGAAAGCTTCTGACATAGGCATCAGAAGCGGGCAAAAGAGTACCCCCTTTGCTAGTGTTAGCAATGGAGTTATATACCCTCCAATGAATCCAAAGAATGTCTGGAGGTTGTAAAGACCTCATCAGACCTACTCCCATAATTTACATTTTAAGATAACAGAGTTGGCCAGAAGGTTTAATCCAAAGATTGTCCTCAGGCAGGATACATCCTTGTAAAGACCAGACCTACTCCCATAATTTATGTTTTAAAATAACAGAATTAGCCAGAGGGTTTAATCCAAAGACTGTCCTCAGGCAGGATACATTATTGTTATATA